CGGGTCACCCGTCACCCCGGCCTGCGCGGCGGAGGACGGCGGAACTCGGAGGGCCGAGAACCCCGCGCACCGCTCGCCTCCCCAGGGCTTTGGGAAACTTGAGTTCTTTGGGGACAAACGGGTTAACGTGCAGACTGCGAGGCATCGTAACTCTCCACGGGATGAGCGAAGTTGCTAACTTTTCCATTCTTGGAAGTGAGAGGATCCGAGGTCACCCCGGCCTGCGCGGCGGAGGACGGCGGAACTCGGAGGGCCGAGAACCCCGCGCACCGCTCGCCTCCCCAGGGCTTTGGGAAACTTGAGTTCTTTGGGGACAAACGGGTTAACGTGCAGACTGCGAGGCATCGTAACTCTCCACGGGATGAGCGAAGTTGCTAACTTTTCCATTCTTGGAAGTGAGAGGATCCGAGTCTTAGTCTTGGTCAGTTTTAAAGGGAAACTTCGGGATTTTGTCAGACCCGCGAGGCGACTCGTGTCTTACCCTGCTCCTGCTCCTTCCAAGTGCTTTGCTCAGAAGGAGAGCGCACGGAACGAGTGGCGGAGTCCAGGCTGTCTGTAAATATATTTCTAACGTGACAGCGCAGTCTGTGTTTATCACGGCCCTCGTACTCCGCGCCCCACTCCCTTGCTCTTGTTTTCCTTCTGAGCCCTGTCGTAAATCCCAGACAGAAGATGCTTGGGAAGGAATTGACCTTTTTTTATTCCGTGATTATTTTGTTTTTTGTGGCCCAAGAAGTTATTTATGAGCATTCTGATAGCAGTGTAGATTAATTCATTGGAATCTTTTAATATAACCTCCCAAACTTTCTACGTCTGTTTGTGTAATTTCAGTACTGCGTTTTGTGCCCTTTAGAGACCTACTACGTTATACTAACATGTTTTGCATTTTTTCACATTAAGGTTTTCTGAAGGAGTACAGTTGTTGACTTGGCGAAAGGATAAGAGTGGCATAAAATAGGCTTTGAGGATTTTTCTAAGGGGTAGATTACGATGTACAGCTTTCGCTGAATCACTTTTCTTTATGCTTAGTCACTGTTTCTCAGTTTAAAAGTTTAAGTGGGGATAACATGATGTTTGCTAACTTCTTAAATTGCCAGGTTGCTTTTACCTTGTACTTTGATGTGGTAAGTGTACTGCTAGTATATTTTAGAAGAAGTGAGTCGATTTTAGAAGAAGCGAGTAGAGTTTTTTTGATTTATGAAAGAACTGAAGTTTGTTTCTTTCAAAGTGTGTACTACCGTAAGTATTTCAATTCAGCTTTTCTCTGTGTCTAGCATTGGGACACCTGTTTTTATAAGTTTAAACGACCACCTTCCAAAAATGATACATGAAGCTTTGTATATAAATGTGGCTGTTGTGTAGAGCAAATACATCCACTTTCTGAGAACTGTATGTTTGTATTCTGTTGAACATACTCATAATTGTAACCTAGCTTTGCAGAGTTCTAGATTGTTTTCAGAGTAGGAATTGCCTTAGGTCACAAAGCTGGGACTTCTGGGAAGCCCACTCCATGGTTATGTGATGCCCATCTTAATAAACTGAATTTTATCATTTGAGTGGAGGATTTTTAATCTAAATTTCAATTCAAGTAGGATTATATCTCAGTATTTAATGTTTATTAATATTTCAGTTTCTGGGGTAAATTTGATAATTTCATATAGTTAGTGGACAGCATTGCAAGCATTTAGAACTTTCACTTTTGGAATAGCTGCTATTCATGACCATATTTAGAAATAGACAATGTACGTTTTGATTATATAACATCTGGAAGGATAAAAAGAAGAAAATATTTTCCATATAATTACTTCATTGTATAAAGAAATGAGAACCAGGGCCAGGGATTTAGCTCAGCGGTTCGGTGGCCTGCCTTGCAAGCGCAAGGACCCACGTTCAATCCCCAGTACCAAAAAAAAAACAAGAAATGAGAACCAGGGCCAGGGATTTAGCTCAGCGGTTCGGTGGCCTGCCTTGCAAGCGCAAGGACCCACGTTCAATCCCCAGTACCAAAAAAAAAACAAGAAATGAGAACCAAAGTTTCATAAACCCATTTAGCCGTTTTTAACTGAGGACCTGTGGTTTGAGTTGGGAATTTAAGAATAGTGTAGTTTTAATCTTGTCTCACAAACTCCATGGCCCGCCATTCATTCGTTTATTCATTGCAGTACGCTGGCTCAAATCCAGGGCCTTGTAGGTGCTGCTGTCACTGAACTACTTCTTCAACTCACCTTCCCCCTTTTTAAAAACAACGAAGTAAGATGTCCAGCTGAGATCCATATTTATTCAGGATTCATTCAAGACTGTAGCTTAGCGGGTCAGTTTGGGAGTGTTTCTTTTTATTACACACTAGTGTCTCTGACTGTACAAAGGATGAGATTTACCCTAGAGGAGCTTATTACTTCTTGAGTGCGAAATATGAAATTTCAGTCGTGGATCTACTTACTTAGTTACTTGTAATAATGGAATGGCTAATTAATTGAACAAGTCTGGTTCCACATTAACCTTACCTTGGAACAACCTCTTATTGCTTAAGTAGAATTGTTTTATCTGTGCTAATTGTAATTTTAAACAGTAGGCCAATGCTACTTCCTATTCTGAGCTGCTTTTCCTCACATTTTACCTAGTAAGGTACATGTGCATGTGTGTCTTTCTTTTTGAACCATTCCGTTTCAAGGGCTGGGGATTTAGCTCAGTGGCACCATGCCTGCCTCGAAAGCCCAAGGTTCAGAGTTAGATCCCTGCTACCAAAAAAAAAAAGAACTATTCAGTTTCCTAATAAATAGGATGATAAGAATATTAAAATAATTGATAAGAATAACATGGAATTATGGAGTAACATAAAGGTAAATGTTTTCTCTTTGCTTCTTTTGAAGATTTTAAAATGGACAATTCAGTTAATTTTTAAAGAATTAAATATTTTATTTTAATGTAATGCAAGTAATATTAATAATGGAAATAAAAATTACTCTTTTATGAAAAAAATGAAACAAAATTAGAGAACAACAATAGTAATGAACTGTTTATTGTGATCTTAAAGAATGGCCAAAATGATATTCATAAAAAAATCAAATAATAACAAATGTTGGTGAGGATGTGGGGGAAAAGGATCGTCTACATATTTGGTGGGAATGGAAACTAGTCACAACCACTATGGAAATTGCTGTGGAGATTCCTCAAAGAAAACCTAAGAATAGAAATTCCATTTGAACTAGTTATTCCATTTCTAGATATTGTCCCAAAAGAGTTAAAGGCATCATAATACAGTGATAACATGCATACTTATGTTTATATTGTCACAATATATAATAGTTAGATCTTGGAAACTGTATGTCAATCAGCAGATAAACGGATAAAGAAAACGTATTTATGCACAGTTTTACACTCCTTCCATAAAAAGATAAACTTTAGGCATTCATAAGCAAATAGATGCAATTTGAGTTAAATTTCTTTGACTTGCCTTTCTTATTTATTTATTTTGGTACCAGAGATTTAGCTGAGTCCTTCAGCTTCGAGGCAGGCACTGGAAACACTGAGGCAAATCCCCTGGCCCATTTATTTACTTTTTAACAAGTGATTTATCTAACTCCATAAATAATGCTTGGAATGTATTATGTACTTATTTGCTCAGTAAATGTTTGAGTACATTGACTTTTTTTGGGGGGTTTTTTTTTTTTGCTTTTTGAGACAGGGTCTCACTATGTAGTTCAGACTGCCCTGAAACTCACTGTGTAGCCCTGGTTGGTCTCAAACTCACAGTGATCCTCCTGCCTCAGCCTCCCAAGTGCTGGGATTACAGGCATGCGCAACCACGCCTGGCTATTGCCATTGGTACTTCTTTGTCTGAGAAGTGTCTGTTCATTTTGTTTTTGTTGTTGTTTTGAGACAGGGTCTCACTATGTAGTTGAGACTGACCTGGAACTCTGTGTAGCCCAGACTGGTCTCGAACTCACAGCGATCCTCCTGCCTCAGCTTCCCGAGTGCTGGGATTACAGGCATGCCCCACCATGCCCGGCTTTACATTGATTTTTTAATGGTAGATTCAAGGAAGTAATTTTGACTCAATTTGATTGTCTAATGCTAGATCTGCAAGTTTGTATCTTTTCATGCAGTATGTAGTTTTCCATAAAATCAAGAATCTCATTTTGGTTTGGAATCCATTTTATTTTATTGTACTGTAATTCTTTTATTAATGTGTTTATAGAAATGAATCCCTAATTGAGGCAGAGGTTTGAATTCATGGAACACCAGAATGAATGAGACAGAGATGGTTCTGACTTTCATGGAGCTTGAAGTTTTCCTATGGCGATAGATGTAAAACACAATAGTGATTTTCTGTCGCTAGTATTACCAAGGAAAATACAGTATGTAATGACCCTGCAGAGGGAGGGATCCCTACCTTGTTTTTAGTGTTTATGGAAAGGTGATAAGCTGAGACTTAAGAGTTGAGGAAACTTGGCAAGTGTGTCTGTATCTTGTACCCAGCAATCCTGAGGCAGCAGTCTATTTGAGAACAGTAGATGACTTTTCTTAGCGCATTCTAAAATCTTGTTAATTTGTGGTTATTTTCTTAATCCTATGTATATTGATGAATTGAGAACAATTTTAAGGATACTATCTCTATGCCTTATATTGGAGACTGATTTTCTACCTTCCTAGAAAGGAGGACAGTAAGGGCTAAAGAAAAACAATAGTGAGTAATTTCAAAGTATATGGGGGCTAGGAGGTCAGTGCCTCAGAGCTGGCAAAGAAGATTCTCCCAGCTAGCCACTATTTATTCGATGCACACAATATTCAGAGGATATATCAGGTGATTTAGGGGGCTTAGGGGTGGCAGTGATCTCAGGCCTGATCCTGTGTGGATACAAATCTCATGCTGATGAGGGCAGAAAGGAGAGCATTCCCACCTCAGTAGGTTGGATGAGCTGAGCTGATAAGGTGAAGCCTTTCTCTTTTGTATTACTATTTGGTTCTCAAGGAACCAAATGTCTTCAGCTGGTGTCACCTTGCCATTGAGCACCACAGCTTCTCAGATCATTGAGGCCTCAACTGTCACCAGAGGCAAAACAGAGTTGTCCCCCCCACCCCCACCCCCAGCTCTCTGGCAAAGTAGCGTTGGGCCTTAGATGGCTATAGTCATACTTTAATTATGAAATTATTTTTCCCAAAAACTTATATAGAAATGCTTTTGACACCTTAAATGACAAGATCTCATTTCATTGTATGGGAAAATGCCATGTTTGGAAACTATTTTTAAGGATTGCTTGTCAGCCACATAATATAAGTTGGAAAGGAAATCATTTCATCACTTACAAATAGTTTTTAGTCTACTGAAACTTTTCCCATTCATATTCTAAGTATAAATTAATAAAAATCTGCTTTGGCATTCTAGGATCCTGTTTCTAATAAGTTTTTTTTTTTTTTAATGTTGAATTTTAAATAAGCTTCTCTGGCTGGAACCGTTAGCCTCAGTTTTAGCAACTTTTCTACTGGACCTGCTGTGTCACTGTTCAGTTGATAAGTCATGGTTTGGCATTTTAAAAGCTAACTTCACAGGATTTGTGAAGTGTCTTAATTTGATTGTAGTAATCTCAATTAAAAAGAGGATAGATCTGGTAGAGTTTTGAATATGAAGGCCATCGCTCCGTTGTACTACCCAGAATGACTATTGCTGTATTTTTTAAAATATATTTGATTGTAGTAATCTCAATTAAAACGAGGATGGATCTGGTAGAGTTTTGAATATGAAGGCTATCGCTCCATTGTAGTACCCAGAATGACTATTGCTGTATTTTCTTTAACATATTTAACTGTAAAATTGAATTGAATTTGATTCTTTGTGTATTTGGAGAATTGTCAAGTGCATAGTATTTCATATGCTTATACTGAGCAGCCATGTAAATAATTTTATAAGTAATTTAAAACACATATGTTCAAAGCAAAGTAATGTGCTTTTATAATTAGAATGGGCCAAAAAGACTTTCTTGACCACAAGGGTTAGGGATTAAGTATTGGAATAAACTACAAGCAAAGTTGTGCAACCTCCATTCCTCAAATAACATCTTAAAATTGAATCACCAGTTACTGAAGAGCTGCCTTATTAAACTTTCATAAGTAAACATATCTGTTACTGTTCTTGAACATTAATCAGCTATAGATTTAAGTCCTACCTCTGTGTCTTAACTAAGTAGATGATCTTTGGTAAACCTTTTCTGAACCACAATTTCATCTGGGCTGTTATAACGGAACATTAAGGGACTTGATATATGTAAAAGAGAGTAAAATATGTACATAATTAGTGTTCCCTTTTCTGCCACTTCCATAAATAGTATTATGCACTTATTGCTATGGATGCCTTCTTTGTTTTTTAATTTTTTTGTCTTGCTTTTAATATTGCTATTGGAAGGGGAATTGTATAAAAGAGGCAGTGACAGTTACTGCTCTGTTTGCATTTAATTTGGAATTATAGTAGTTGTGATTTTAAACTTTTTAAAATTAAGTGATGTAAAAAGATATGCTTTACCTGGTATGATCATATAATGGTATGTACAGTAATGTAAAGTATCTCTACAATTCTAAAAGCAGTGGTCACTTCTGTTGAAACTGCTTGGTATATTTAGGTTTCTCTCTTAGCAACAGTCAAGCTTATAACCTTCAGCATGTGAGATGAACTCTAGTTACAAAATAAGAAAGCTACAGCTGTTTTCTTAGTCTAATCACTCAGTAAAGTTTATCTTAACTTTTTAAAGAAAAATAAGGTATGTTTTCATAAATAAGAGTAACAATAGTTATTACACTCTGTGTGTGTCATTGTCTCCAAAGTACTCAGTGCAAGACATAAATTTTTTAAAAATTCTTAGAAAAAAGAAACATAATAACACATTCTTTCTAGTGGACTAAGGTGAAAAAGTTTCTTTGTGTGTCTGCTTAAATGACAAATGTTTGTCATCTTTCTGTTACTTCTACTGTATTAGTTTTAGCATATGTTTTTACTAACAAAATTTATGAAAATGAACTCAAAAGTTTTTTTTTTCTTTTTTTGTTAACTTGTTTTTGTTTTGTTTTGTGTTTTTGGTCATAGTGAGATTGAACCTAGGGTCTCATATTTTCTATGCAAGTGTTCTACCACCATAGCGCTACATCCCCAGCCCTTTTTATTTCTTGTTCTGAGATGGGGTCTTGCTGAGTCACCCAGCCTGGCCTCAAGCTTGCGATTCTCTTGCTTCAGCCTCCTGAAGGCATGCACTACCATGCCTAGCTCTAATTTGTAATTTTTTTTACACAATTTAAAAGTAATTTTGGTTCCGATTCTGTGCCTTTTTTTCCTTGACACCATCAAACATAATAGCAACTCAGAATTTTGCCACTTAATCAAGAAAAGTACTATCAATAATGACAAGTTTCAGAAAGATCAAGCTTCAACTGGAGATAAAGATATAGCAATTTGGGAAGTGATTGTTTCAACCACTGGCATCAAGATAAAATTTAAGCATAAATGTATCAGAGAGCAAGTAAGGTCTGTGACCTGCATGAAGAAAATAGGCTATACATCTGCTTATCTAGAAAATTATGTACTATAGTATAATTTGGAAATATTGAGCTGAGCTGCCTGTGCCTTCTACAAGTAGAAATGCATAATAAATAGCCACTGGGGTCCAGATTTTGGAAGAGGAATCTGGGCCAGATGTATAGTTTTTAGAATATGAGTGGCAATTGAAACTTTTGGAGAAATTGAGAGGATCCAGAGAGAATGTGTAGAATGCAGAAGAAGTAACCCTGAACAGGTGTAACATTTAAGAATAAAGACTAACTAGCGGTAGAAGGAGAGCTGGAGAACTGTATCATGAACAGTAAAGAAGGTGACAGTTAAAATATGAGGGATTAATCGTTATAACCATATGGCCAAAGAAGATGGGGTTCTAGAAAAAAACATTTCTGTTGAATTTAAGCAGCTCTCAGTAGAGCAGTTTTAATGAGAGATAGTGACAGTAAAATCAGATTAGGGGGTTGAAGAATGTATGTGAGTTTAGAAGACATGTTTGTTTTTCTTTTGATTGTTTGAATAGGAAATAAAAATGGTAGGGAGGGTATTTAAATTTTTACCACAGTTAAGAACAAACCAATAAATAAAGTGAAGATCACAGAAAAAACAATTTAAAAGGTTCAATTACAGTTAAATTAACATTTTATGCTTATGCTTTCTCTTATTTTTGTTTAAAAAGTTTTCTTGATGAAAGTTAATACTCAGCTGTATTTGGTGATACATACCTATAATCCCCAGCACTCCAGGAGGCTGAAATGGGGTATTGGTAAGATTGAGCTCAGCTTTGGGAAATTTAGCTAGACCTTGTCTCAATAAATAAATAAATAAATAATAAAAAGCTGGTAATGTAGCTCAGCACAGAGCCTCTGTGTTCAATTCCTAGAATGGAAAAAGAAAAAAGCAACAACAGAAACCTGAAAGTTAAAATTCTAATTTTAAAGCAGGAAAGACCCATAGGTATCTGTAATCCTATCATGTTATTTTATAAATCTTATTTTTCGGCTTAAAATGTTCATTGACGTCCAGTTACTAAAAGGGTGAGTACTCTAGAGTAGTGTACAGCTCTTAGGATTTGCCTTATTCCTTTTTGGCCTGGTCTCCCACAGCTACCTTGGATTTCACCTTGATCCAGCAACATGTTTGTAAATTCAATCTTTTCTGTATTTGTATGTGCTTTACTTTAGCCTTAAGTGTTTCCCTTCCTTACTAAATAACCTTCCAATTCTTCAGCCTTCTCATTTTTCAAGGCTACTGTGCATTCTTTCCTAATCCCTACCCAGTTATCTTCTCTTGTGTTACCATCTTAACTTCTGTTATATCAGTCACACAGTGTGATAGGATTAATACTGTCTGACCTGCTGCAGCTCCTTGTAAGGAGGCACCGCATCTATATTGCCACACTGAACACAATGTCTGTTACCTAGTAGCGGAATACATTTAATGATGAATGGAGATGGGTCCTCAGAAGTAACTTTTATTTTCTTGATAAAATCCCTATATATTTTACTTAAGGTTAACTCTTGTTAATTTGTAGAATATTAGGCATATATAGGAGAGATCAATATGTATATGAATTTCTATATTTAGAAGAACATAGAAAATTTCTAAAAGTTCTAGTTCAGTTTATTAATGAAATCCAGATTATTCTCAGGAATATGATGAGGTGTTTGCGGTGAAAGGTGTATCAGTTGATTTAATTGAATAAATGTAAAACTAAAGCAGTCTCTAAAATCTAAAAATTGAAATATACAGTTTAGGCATTAATATAGTACATAGTACTAGAATTTAAATTTTATTTTAACATTCCTTATGATCATTTTGTTTGTAGTATGTAAGAACGACACATTTTAAAGTACTAAATTGCTACTTGAATTTTTTTTTTTGAGACAGGGTCTCACTATGTAGTTGAGACTGACCTGGAACTCAATATGTAGCCCAGGCTGGTGTTGAACTCAGAGCAATCCTCCTGCCTCAGCCTCCGAGTGCTGGGATTACAGGCGCGTGCCACCACACCTGGCTCAAAATGTTTTGATCATATGTGAAATTGTTTATATGTATTTTTGTACTGTACCCTCAAATAAGCTAAGATATATCAGTGGTTTTAATTTATATTATTAAACAATTTTTTAAAAACACTTTCTACCTTTTTATCTTTTCCATTTCAACTGCTAGAGCTGGACTGGCCATTATGGAGGAGGACCTGCAGCATACACATTGTGTGAATTGTGTCAGCAGACGGTGTATGACCAGGCCAGAGCCTGGCATCTCCTGTGACTTGATTGGTTGTCCATTGGTTTGTGGAGCAGTTTTCCACTCTTGTAAAGCTGAAGAGCATCGACTTTTATGTCCATTTGAACGTGTGCCTTGCTTAAATAGTGACTTTGGATGCCCATTTACCATGGCTCGAAACAAAGTTGCTGAACATCTAGAAATGTGTCCTGCAAGTGTGGTGTGCTGTACTATGGAGTGGAACCGATGGCCAGTGAGCTATGCGGACCGGAAGTCATATGAAAATCTAAGCAGAGATGTTGATGAAGTGGCACAATTAGATATGGCCTTGGCCCTACAAGACCAAAGAATGCTCTTAGAATCTCTCAAAGTAGCCACTATGATGTCAAAAGCAACGGATAAAGTATCTGAACCTAGGGAACAAATGTCAGTTAAATCAAGTGTCCCAGAAATACCACGTACTAATGGTTTGGTGTCTGTTGATGAAGAATCTTATGGTGCACTTTATCAAGCTACTGTAGAAACAACCAGAAGTTTGGCTGCGGCTTTAGATATCTTGAATACTGCCACAAGAGATATTGGCATGTTGAATACAAGTCCTTGTGCTACCCCAAATGAAATGGATGAAGAAAAAAACTCCAGAGAAAGCTTACAGGATAGAAACTTAAAAGACCAGGACCATCTTTATGAGGATGAGATAGGGGCAGTAGGTGGAATTGACCAGAATGCCACAAGTCAGAATGCTCAGTCTGAACAAAATGGTTCCAGTGATTTATTATGTGACTTGAATACAAGTTCTTATGGCACTTCTGCTCTTTGTAATGGCTTTCCTTTGGAAAATATATGTCCACAGGCGAAAGACCAGGATCAACGGAATAACTTAATAAATGGAGAATGTGAGGCATCAAATGGTACTTTAGAACCTTCCAGTTCACTGTCATTAGCAGCGCAACTTAGGGAAGTCGTGCCACCCAGTGCTTTGCCTAATGGCACAGTTCAGCATATCCTCATGCCAGATGGTGAAGATGAAGGTGAACTGTACTGGAGAAAAGTGGACTTAGGGGACTTGAGAAATGTGGATGTGTTATCATTCAGTCATACTCCTTCATTCAAATTTCTTTCTAATTCATGTTGGTCTAAACCAAAGGAAGATAAAGCAGTAGATACATCAGACTTGGAAGTTGCAGAAGATCCCATGGGCCTTCAAGGAATAGATCTGATTACAGCAGCCTTACTCTTTTGTCTAGGAGATTCTCCAGGTGGGAGGGGTATATCTGATAGTCGCATGGTTGATGCTTATCACATTGACTTTGGGACACAGACTTTTTCACTTCCATCTGCAATATTAGCTACAAATACAATGGTTGGAGAAATAGCTTCTGCTTCAGCTTGTGATCATGCTAATCCACAGCTTTCAAATCCAAGTCCTTTTCAGACCCTTGGACTGGATTTAGTATTGGAATGTGTTGCTAGGTACCAGCCTAGGCAGCGTTCAATGTTTACCTTTGTGTGTGGACAGTTATTTAGAAGAAAAGAATTTTCTTCACATTTTAAGAATGTGCATGGTGACATTCATGCTGGACTCAATGGCTGGATGGAACAGAGGTGTCCTCTAGCTTATTATGGTTGCACCTTTTCTCAGCGAAGATTTTGTCCATCAACACAAGGAGCAAAAGTTATACATGACCGTCAGTTGAGGTCATTTGGAGTTCAGCCATGTGTATCTACAGTATTGGTAGAGCCTGCTAGAAACTGTATGTTGGGATTACATAGTGACCATCTAAGTGGTCTTCCTTTTGAGGTCCTACAACATATCGCGGGGTTTCTTGATGGCTTCAGTTTATGCCAACTCTCGTGTGTGTCCAGATTAATGAGAGATGTGTGTGGCAGTCTACTTCAGTCTCGAGGAATGGTCATTCTGCAGTGGGGGAAAAAGAAGTATCCAGAAGGAAATTCATCATGGCAAATAAAGGAAAAGGTTAGTTTAATCTTAACTATATTAATCTTTGACATAGATAATCTAATAGATAATGTTGAATTAATAGTTAATATTTTGTTTGAAATTGAGCATCCCCAAAAACGTAAATAAGAAAATATGATAAAGCATATATTAATATGATAGTTAATGAAGAACTGGAATATTGAGAATTACCATGATGATGGGCTTAAATTTCCTAGATCTAGATTCTATTCTAATAAGGCAAAGGCCACTTTTTTTTTTCAGAATGAGCAGTTCTGTACTTCAGTTCTACTGTAACAACTTTGGGCCTGTGTTACCCGATCTGTGCTCCACCTGAAGCAGCTTCACCATAAAACAATGGAGAAAATAAGGAGAAGGTTTTTTTCTTGCTTGTAATTATCAGTTTCCATTCTTAGCAGTTTCTTTTTTAGAAGTTGTTTCATATAGGACATGAAGGAAGATGAGAAAAAGTTGTAGCTACTGCTACAGTCATACTACTAAGTGGAATATTTAGTATACCAAGGGAGTATTTAGGATACAAGAACATAAATGGATGGATGAGGAAATGTCTGAGGTTGAAGTAAGATAAGAGTATGGTAGTACAATTGGATATTGTAGTTAGAGACTGAGTCTAGTATAGACCCAGGAATGATGCATATTGGAAAATTAGGATGCCTAGCTTTATGATACCCTACTTTTATTTGAGTCAGCATCCAGTGGAAACTAGAAGACATAATAGATACCTGTGATTGAGGTGTTTTTGAAATTTTAAAACATTCCTAATATGAAACCTTACATTTTAAAAAGTAGAAACAATTTCGATAAACTTCACATTTGGTTACAGTGTTCAAATTTCTGATTACTTTCTCCTTGACCCAGTTAGGTTGTCTTTTACTTATCAGTTTAGTTTTTCAGAATTCTGTATCTACTTCTGTTTTCATGAGGCTTTGACCATGAAAGAACACAAATTTTTTTCCAGAAAGGAATTTTGGTGGCAGAGAATTTCACCAGTTATGTGTATTTTCATTTCCCAGATGATTTGGTGTTTTTTCTTCCCTTTGGGACAGGATGTTCTTATGTATCTTCTTTAGTTGTCCTTATCCACTAGTATTAACATATGGGGTGAAATATTTTCTAGGGATTGATGATAATTCTTTCAGAGGTAACGTCTGGTCTTCAAGTTTAAATTGCCATCATTTACACATCTATAAACTGGCTGTTTTTTCTACTAAACTCAAGACCACTATAAAGTATGATCAAAGTACACCAGGAGTGGTTGTTTCTTTACAAGGAATGATTAAAAAAAAATGTAGTAGATGTTGCTGCCAAGTGTCATCTGACAGAAAGGTTGGCTTGTAAAAATATTACTGTGTGTCCTCATCTGCCTTATTCACCGGATGGACTTTATTCACCATATCTGGCACTGTACACTTCTGACTCTTCTCTGAGGTCAAAATGACTGTGAAAGGTTTTTAATTGATTGAGTACACCCAGGCAGCATGAAAGCACAGCTAAAGATGCTTATGAAAGAGGACTTTCAGCACTGCTTCAGAGAGTAGCAAGAATAATGGGAAAAGTGTGTTCACAACAAGAGGGGAAGTATTTTGAGGAGGATAACTGAAAATACATCTTTTATTGCAATAAATTTAACATTCACCATATTTTTATCACACCTTGTATATACAATCATTTACTGGGCATTTCTACTTGGTTATCCCGCAGGTTTCCCAAACTCAACATGTCCAAGCCACTCTATTCTTCTCTCCTGAACCTCAGATTGAAAAGTTAGTGCTGACTCCTTTTTCACCCTGTTATTTCTATACCTAAGTAAACATGAGGTCTTGAAGATTCACTCCTTTCAAGTTTGCTTCTCTAGTTCATTGCCATTTTCCTAGTTTAGCCTTATCTTTGGTTCTCTCCTGCATTGCTACTACAGCTTTCTCTTAAATACATTTCTCCTTACAGTTGAGCCCCTCTCCAACACATCTGCATGTAAGAGTTAGGATATATATATCTTCTTAAATAAACTGTTTACATTGTCACTGCAGTGTTTCAAAGTTCCTTAATATTTGTCCATTGCCCTGAGATACAGACTCACACTTTTTTGTAAGACATTTAAAACTTTTATCATCTCATCCTTTCTTACCTCTTGTTTCTTCTTTCACTTTATGTTCCAGCCACATTCACTTATTACCCTTGATGTTTTTTTTCTTGCCTTAAGGCCTTTGAATATGCTGTCCCTAGCATATTAAAATATCTGCAGTGTGCTAGATAGTGTGCATTGATGCTTTCTTTGGCTTATTTAATTTGTGATCATCACTTTAGAGATAGAAAAAAAGTATCTTGTCTAAATAATTGATGGATTGGGCTGGGGGATTTAGCTCAGTGGTGCCGCTGCCTTCCTTACAAGTACAAGGTCCTGAATTCATTCCCTGGTACCAGTTGATGGATCCACTGTGATTTTTATTTTCTTACTATTTCCTGCTTCCTCTTCAGTTCTTAGTGGCAAAAGTCTCCTGGTACTGTCCTGCTCTTTATTGCTGTGGGCTCCATTACGTGGTCCTACAAATGCATTCATGGAACTGTTTTAAAATTCACTGATTGTTATTTTCAATCATTAGACTAAGTTCCTTGACAGCTAAAAACTCTGGCAATCAAAATATCTACTGTCTAGCATAGCACCTCCCATTTAATAGGCACTTAGTAAATACGTTATGGGTACCTGAAAAGTTGACATGTTACCGAGAAACTCTCTCCTCTCCCTTTTCCTTTCCTTTGCCTGCTTTTCCTGAGTTTGTTTCACTGAACTCTTAAATGTACAGAAGCTGTGTTTTTGTGGGTAAGATAAATGTAACAGAAGGCTAGTTACATCTATAATCTGTTGTTAGGTCTTCACTGTCTTCTGGGACATCACTCCACACAGAATAATTGATCATAACCCTCAGGAATGCAAGGAACACCCTTCCTGCTAAATATTGGTGATTTGCCATGCCAATTTAAAAATACTATACTGTGGTCTCTCCGAATTTGAAGGCATCTGGTCACCTGGGAAGTCATTACAATTCTTTCTTGAGAAGTTTTAATGTGCACTGAGGCCTTCTCCCAAAATACTGCTACTTTTTAGAGCATGTGCTGTATCTGTGGGTTCTGTGTCTGTGCTTTCAACCAACTGCTGGTCAAAAATACTTTTAAAAAGGCTGGGGATTTAGTTTAGTGGTGCCATGCCTGCCTTACAAGTGTAAGGTCCTGAGTTCAATCTCTGGTACACAAGGAAAAAAACACTACTTTAAAAAATTGTGCCTGTTAAACATGTACAGACTTTTTTCCTTGTCATTCCCTAAGCAATGCAGTATAATATACTGCCATTTACTTTATATTAGATATTATGAGTAGAGACAATTTAAAGTTTGTGGGTAGATACACAGGTTCTATGCAAATACTGTCATTTTACACAAGGGATATAAGTGTCACAGAATTCCATGTCAGGCCATCCTGGGACCAGACCCCCACAAATAATAAGAGACAGTTATATTCACTAGGTATTTTCCTGTTGATGAACTTAGCCAGGATACTTAGGACTGTGCTGCCCCATTCGTGCTTGTTGCCCTAAGTCTCCCCTGATCTGCATTGATGCATCTTACTTAAATGTCCAGTAGCTTTATGTTTTCAATTGTGAAGATGAGAGAGGGACACAATAGTCACTGCTCAACTAATAAGGCGATAGTGCCTCAGGGCCTGAAGCTGCTCACTGAGCAAAAAGAGAATCAGCCCATATTATTACCAGCAAATACATGAAACAGGGTGGCTGGTGAGTAGTAGTGTGCATAGAAACCTGAAAATAAGACCTGTTTTATAAAAGTTCTTTGTATACACATTTTCAGAAACATGAAAGCACCTATGTTTTAAGTGTTGCTAGGTACTTTTAGTATGTGTAAAAAGTGGAAAGATAAGCTATCTTACCGCACAATACTCTAGGGTATTTTTAACACATTTTGTGTGATATAATAGGAACGGGAGAAAAACGTGGTGAGAAGAAGATAACATATATAACGTCATTATCTCCAGACTATGGATAGTTATATTTAAGTCATTTGGACAGGAAGAAAGAATAGTATGCAGTATATCTTAAGAAGTGGCTCTGAATTCCTAAAGTTAGGATTTAAAAAAAAAATTCAATAAATGAGATTTGCTATGAATTTTAATACTGGATTTTGTCTTTTTTTTTTTTTTTTTGGTTATTTGTTGAATTCATTGTCTCATAGAAGTGAGTTGTCTTATAAATATTTTAAAAACAGATTTATTTCTAAATGGATCTTTTTATATATTTTATTTATTTATTTATTTATTTATTTTCAGTACCAGGGATCAAACTCAGGACCTTAAGCTTGTAAGGCATTTGCAGCACCACTAAACTAAATCCCTAGCCCTGGATCTTTTTAGTTTTATAGCTCACTGTTCAAAACTATAATGGATGTTTTTCTAACAGTAAAAATATGTGCATTTTGACTCTGTAGTTTGACTTATTTAAATCTGATGTAGAATTTTCTTCTAGGTATGGCGATTCAGTACTGCATTTTGTTCTGTTAATGAATGGAAATTTGCTGACATCTTAAGCATGGCTGACCACTTGAAGAAATGCAGTTACAATATTGTTGAGAAACGAGAGGAAGCCATCCCATTGCCATGTATGTGTGTGACTCGAGAACTCACTAAAGAAGGACGTTCACTGCGCTCAGTTTTAAGACCTGTACTTTAAAAACTAACTTGCACATACATGCAAGCACTTGGTATAAATTCTTTATAATATGTGACACTTTATTAATGTATTAAAGATTACAACTAGCAAAATTTTTTGTCACTGTGTATATATAATGTTTTGAAGTGACATATATTTTTATAAAGTAGTTGGAAAAAAAATTGCCTTAATGTTTGAAATGTGTGAAATTTTTGGAACTTGCTGGACAGGGTGATTTAATCTTTAGCTATATTCAGAATTAGTATTTTTCATGGTGTGCATATTTTGGTTCTTTAATTTTTTTCTTCTTAAAATTAACAAGATCCTGACCAAACAATTTACTCCTCATGTTTTCAGTGGGTTGAAACCCATGCAATCAAAATGTAAAACTTTGAATCAAATTTTGGCAGCATAGGTTTTTTTTAGGTAAACATTTTCAGTTGCTTAAGTACTGCCATATAAGATCATTATAAAGCACTCCCCTTCAACAGTATATGTGATTTCTACTGTATGGTGATCAAAAAATATGGTGAACGTTTACATTTAAAAACATTTATGAAATAAAGACATTGCCATCATTCTTCCATTCTGCATTTTAAGTGTCCTTAGTTGGGCTGTTATGACCACCTAAATCAGTTCAACATGTTTACCTTCATAGTTATTTTAACTTTGGGGAAGAGCCATACGTTGCATGGTACCAGATCTGGTATATAGGGTGGATAGGACACAGTGTAATGCTTTTATGAACTTGCCTTTTTGGCAGCAGCAGTCACTGTACGTTTTGATCACCCTTGTAAAGAACACACAAAAGAAGACTTCTTGGAGTGCTTCAGAAATTGGCAAGAATGATGGGATCAGTATGTTTGAAGCAAAGGGGATTAATGTCAATGTGTCTTATATAATAATTTTTAAAAATTTAAACATTCACTGTATATTTTGATCACTCTTACTATATAAATCTAAATATTTAAAATAACAGCTAATGTTTGGTAATGCCATTTAAGATGGCATTAAAAATACAAAGATGTGTTCATCTTACATTCTTAACAACTGTTATACAGTGCTCAATTACATCTTTTGTTTTTATTAAATGCCAGATCCAAAGACTCTTGGCAATGTTTTACCTGAGAGGTAAAAGCAAAACAAGCAAACAAAAAGCAAACCTGTGAATTTGAAACAGTTCACGATACTATATATTTGATAGATATTTAATGTTTGAGAAGCAAATATACCTCATTTTAAGTGAATTTGGCATATTGTATGAGTGAATTTCAAATATTCAGAATGTAAAAGGGCTTAACTTTCATTAGTACTTAAATTTTTGCTTATTGATGTTTATAAAAAATACAGCTGTATGAAGCATTTAAAAATGTGAAATTTTATGTCCTTTATGTAAGGTAACAATTGAGCAGAAACCTGTCTTGATTGACAGTCTCTTCAAAGTGTTTCCAAGTTTATTTCCCATACACATCTGTATTAGAAAGTAAGAGTTGTAGCTTTGTATAAAGAACAAAATATGATACAGCAGTATTCAAAGTACTGTTCTTGAAGTACTGTATTGTTTTTTAATTGGTTTATAATATATGAGCTTGATGTGGTCACCTTAAAAAGGAATATACATGCTATATCAGTATATAAAAATAAATTGCAAAGATGGGGACAGATATTTAAGTAATTTAGGTGAATTCTAGCATTTGATAAGCTGAAATGGTGACAAACTACCTTGTTATAAGTGGCAAAACTCATTGTATCCTCCTGCATTTGTCCTTGAGAGTGCTTTATGGTTAATGATTCATGATTCCCATATATGGCAGTCAGGCTGGACAGAGGCGTTCCTTGGGCATTAGAGAATGCTGAACTGTTTAAGTTTCGTTGTGGTTGAATCAACTAAGCAATTTTGCCCTACCTGTCATTTTAATTAGTAGAATACTTATTTCTCAGTGCTTAAACTTTTTCAGCTGCAGGGTGGAATTGCATAAAAAGTCTGTGTTTCTGTGAAAAAGCTAAAAATAAGGTATCAAGTACTGTAAAATCTAACTCCACCTTTTAAAGTTTTGCTGAAGAATGTGGCTATGATTAGGATACCACTAGCATTAACTTTTTGCTTTATGTTTGAGCTTTATTAAACCCATGATTTTTTAAGCTTAGACTTCTTGTTTCCACACTGGATCATGAGATATCTAACATGTTTCCCACCTACATTTCTTTTACACATCTTTTGTCATTCTTTTGTTTGTTATGCCACCACACTATTTTGTTAAAATGTTTTCTGTGCAACATTTGTTCGTTCTAATAAAATTATTTTCCCTTTATATGACTCATTATCTTTAAAAAAACTTTCATTTAAAACTTTAGTACTTGTTTTACAAATTCCACACACAATTACTTGTTTCTGTAGTATTGATTTCTGCATGTTGTAGGGGTTGCTGGTTGATTATCATTGCTGAGTAAGATTTTATTGGTGAACATTAATTTTTTTAATACTGTACATACAAAAAACTTAGCTTGCTTTGCTTCTTCTGTGTCTTGAAATTAGGCCTGTCTAGAGTAATTGAAAGGCTAAATTGTTTCTAGCATAATTATTTCTCTAAAACTTATGGTAACCTATATAGCCTCTTAATAAGCATGAAAAGGTTTGTACAGTGGCCTAGTAGATTGTCATTTGAGAAGTCTTTGTTGATTGATTGTGCTAACCAGCAACCTGAAGGACAAGCATCAGGGTGGAAGGAAATAACTGAATTCACTTTTATTTTCTGTCTCCTTCCCCTGTACTACTTAATCTGCTTGCCTCCCTCCCTCTAGTCTATCTTCCTCCTCTTCCTCCCTCCCCTTTTGAGACTTACATATTACTTGAGGTGGGAACAAGCAGTTTGTTTTAATGATTCCAGGTGATTCTGATACACAGTGACATAAAATCTTAGAGAAAGCCTGAGCCTTGTGGCTATAGGACTATCCTCTAATGTGTTATTGGAAAGGATATATGTGTGTATCCACAATTAAGAGTAATGGTAATTTATTGATATCGATGGTTAAATTATATATTTTGACTGTAAATTAAAGCCATGTGACAGTCATGGTACTACGTGGTACTTTTAGGGTACTATAATTGTTAGACTTTTTGAAAATTTAATATTTACTGCTATTTAAATTTTCGCTAGTGTTTTACCAGTGTTTGTCCTATTGAAGGGTATGAATAATGCAAAGTTTAGTTCATTAGTAATGTTTAGCCTGGTTATCTCATTCTGTTGCTTAGTGGTGGTACTTGTGTAAACATACTAGATATTTAGGATAAGGAAAGTAGAAGTAAAGAAATATTCTATTAAATCCTACAAAAATATTTTTAGGGACCCTTTCAACTCTATATAAATAGGAGGTTAGATATGGTTTCTGGTTCATCAGTAGTATAGACTTTGTTTTGGTGTTTGACTCTGTGCTGCACGGCCCATCAGTGTTGTTGCTATTATCTGTCCTTTAACATTGAATGCTAGGATCTTAGTGATGTTGAAGATAATGAGGTTTTCCAACAAAACTTCCATAATCTTTGAAGAGGTAGTGTCTTTTTTTAAACTATATTGATAACAGATTTACTTGTGAAGGTTTACCATTTTTTAAGTGGTGAAACAAAACAGGTTTCTTCATGTTTGCATACCAACTGAAAAAGGCGTAAGATTTATTATTTAGATTTACTCTTTTTTTGTTTCCTGAGGCAGAGTTATTCAGATATTTGAAAGTATTTGTTTCATGCATGGTATACCACATTGGGAAGCTATATGAGTAGAATCTGCAGCATTGGAGAGACATGCAGTAGAAGGACAGCAGTTGGCCCCCAAGCTCTGGACAAAGCTTTTTGATTAATGGAATTTTTCTGATAGGTGTTTGGCTGGTCATCTAAATGCTGCTGTGGTAGTCTTAATGTGCTCACGAGGCCTAGAACATACTAGTTAGGCCTTTAAGTTCCATTGTGTTTAAAATAACTTACTGATGGGATTTGTTAGGATTTATCTAAATCTGCTTTTCAGGAAAAACTATGAGTTTAGTAAAGGCCAATTAGAGTAAGGTCCTAGTTCTAAATACTGGGAGAAAAGGAAAGATTTTTTTTTTTGAAGTCACTTTTTGCATACTTATTTCCATTTATTGACATTGGTCACTTTTCTGCTTTACAGATGCAGAAAAGAGAAGGTACATTTAGATGAAATTACTTCAGTAAAATGTGCCTAGAATAATACGTGGTTGCTCCCAAATGTTACTGAAAAGAATTTTAGGGCAATACAAAGAGGAAGCAGAGACCAATGAAGTGTACTATGCTACTCTGAAAATCTTTCTCTAAAACTAGGCATTTTGTTAAAAAAAAAAAAAATTGCAAGAATTTCATTGCATGTTTGACTGAAAAATTCTATAAATTCATAATTCATACATAAATTTGACAAGTATAATCTTCATAGTTGGCCAGTATATCCTGAGATGTATTAAGGAATATATCTTAGTTACCTTAGTACATTTCACAACTTTTATCTCAGTACATTGCACAACTGATATTTTATATTCAAACTTTGATATGTGGTGTATTTTATAGAGATTTTTTATTGGTACCAGGGATCAAACACAGTAAAAATTCATAGATGCCAATCTTACATGCTGGATTAAAACTTCTTCACTATGAAGAAAAGCATTTCTGAAGCAAACTTACAGGAGAAAAAAAATTAATAACAAAATTCTGAGCAAATCTTTTGCCTATTTACATGCAAACATTGTAATAAGATGACTTTTTCCATACATAGACAGTTCTAGTGATTGTTAATAGTAATGGTTCGTGCGTCTGAAAATAAAATGGCATTTTTGTTGAATGCTTGGGACCAAATACATCAGGTCAAATTATCCTTCCCCGACAAAGACAAATTATTAGGTTTAATTTTTATCTTTTCAAATTTAAATCAGTTTTTTTTTTCTCAGACAAGATCTTTAAACAGATAAATAGACTGATAGATGCATTCAGACTTTTGCAGAGGAACTAACTAGAGTCAGGTATCATTGTAAGCTCTTAGTCACACAATTGTTACATTGTTATGAAGATTGATTATAGAAGAGTAGCAGTCATCTCTTATTATTCAAAAGACTGAAGATGAAAGAAGGAAATCCTACCTTCTGGTGTCCTAGAATATTTTTTTCTGTTGAAATCCTCTTCATATTGTCATTGTTGCTTGTGTATTTTATGACTGCATTTTTCTGATGACATGATCAAAAAGCCTATGTTAATTACATAGCATTTAAAAAAGATCTTGTTCTCCTGATAACAACCTAAATTTCATAATTTCGGTCAGTAATTTTAGATCTAAGTACTATAACTTTTCTAGCTTCTATAAAGTCCCTTGTGAGCTCACCAATGAAAATATAAGCTTGTAGTTTTGAAAAATTTGAAATATAGCTGAATGCTGACTGGTTTAACCACATTACTTAATTCAAATAAACATATTAGTATTGAGTACTACATTTGAAAATAAAGTTACTGTAAATAGCTACGTCAACTGGATGTCTTTTTAATTCAAATAATGGCTTAAAAATTCTTAACTTTTTAATAAAATAAGGGATTTGATACAAAGATTATTGATTTGCAGGGCTGGGGATTTAGCTCAGCGGTTTGGTGGCCTGCCTTGCAAGCGCAAGGACCCGAGTTCAATCCCCGGTACCAAAAAAACAAATAAAAAAACCCAAAGATTATTGATTTGCAGGGCTGGGGATTTAGCTCAGCGGTTTGGTGGCCTGCCTTGCAAGCGCAAGGACCCGAGTTCAATCCCCGGTACCAAAAAAACAAATAAAAAAACCCAAAGATTATTGATTTGCTGCAGTATTCCGGTAGCATAGTACAAAATCCCT